ACAGTAGTGGAAGGCTATATATTTAGCATTAGCTAACACATGAATTCCACATTCAAAGGACTGTTTTTGTTGTATACATGATATATCTATGGTGTTTTTACTTTCAATACTAAGTTTGCTGGATACAATTTTTGCTGACGCACTGTTTGTTGGACCCAACGAATCCAAGTGGTATGCCTTCTTTTGTAACTTGTCAACAAATAGTAAGCTCCAATGTGAGCCAGTGTCTTCTTTTTTACAGTCATTACTGTTACTCAGACATAGAAGAATGTATTTACATTTGTCAAAAGAAGTCATAGCAAGGCTTTCGGATATAGTTTCTGCAGTTCCAAACTTTATAATTGCAGTTGCAGATGGGCCCAAAAACAACACTTCCTCAGAGTCAATGCAACTTGCCAATGCAGCGAAGTATTCATTTAATACAGAGTCATCTGTCCACTTCTCTTTCCCCCATTCACATTTGTTTTGCTTAAGCTCCAGAAACTCTGTTGATACTGCCTGCAGTTGAATATGCAACTTCGCATTGCTTGATGTTTTTTCCTTCAGTTTCTCCTCTAAGGATAAGTTTGACAATTTTAATTTGGTAATATTCTGTAACAAGTCTTTGTTTTCATGCAGTAAGACATTGTAGCTATTCACATTGGATCTGAGTTTTTCTTCAATAATTTTTATTTGTTTCTTTAGAAGAATATTTTCGTCCTTTTCTTGTTCTTGTAAATGAAATGATTGATTTAGATCTTGCTCTCTTTGTCTTTTTTCTAATTCTAGTTTAGACTCCAAGATAGCAGTATCCCTCAGAGTCGAGTCAAGTTTATTTCTATTTTCTTCATTGTCCAAAAGAACACCGTCACAATGTTTGATTATTGATTCTAGGCTGGAAACAAGATCTTCAATTTTCACTTCAGGGTTATTGCATTTTATATTATTTATTTCCAAACATATTCTGGCTATATGTTCCTGCATTAGACTGTGACATTCGTTTGACTCAAATATTATTTCCTGTAATACTTCCATTTATATTATTGTCTTCTTCTATCATGTATTAAATCAGTTAAAAAACCAGATAAAATCAAATAAAATAAATTACCTGAAAAATATCATTAATAATCAAACAAACATGCTGTGTAGTAATTTTCTTCCTTTTTTCTTTGTGATTTGGAGATCAAAAAGTTTACTGCCGTAATAAGATTTGAACCTGGGTCCTTCCGATTATCAGACCAATACTTATCCAAATGAGCTAGCACACCTTGTTCCAGGAGGAGATAATACCGTTATCAGAGAATAGTTCTCGGTTATGCACCATTGCTACTCCTTTTGGCCGATTTAGTTATTGTAGACTACCTTTCGGATTGAATAGTTCCCCAGAGATTTTCCAAAAAGCAATGGACCATGTAACCTGTGGATTGGAGGGAGTGAGTGCATACATAGATGACGTCCTAGTGTTTGGTAACTCAAAAGAAGAACATGATGAAAGACTGGCTGCTTTCTTAGAAAAGGCAAGATATTTTGGACTTAAGCTGTCTAAAGAAAAAAGCCAGATTGGCCGTGAAAGTGTCCAATATCTAGGTCACAAACTTACTCCACAAGGTATTTCAATAACCGAATGCAAACTGAAGGCTATTCAGGACTACCCGAGCCCTAGGGATAAAAATGACCTCCAAAGATTTTTGGGAATGATTACATATGTAGGAAGGTTCATTGATAATCTATCTGATAAAACAGGACCACTACGATTACTGATGAGCAAAAACAAGTCTTTTATATGGACAAGTATAGAACAAAAATGTTTTGAAGCATTAAAGGAGGAGATAACAAAGGTTCCTGTTTTGGCCTATTTTGATGGAAGAAAGAAGTCTACTTTGTCTGTAGATGCAAGCAAATTTGGCCTCGGGGCCGTTGTTTTTCAAAATGACCATCCTATCGGCTACAGCTCTTCAGCTTTAACAGCAACTCAGCAAAGGTACAGCCAGATTGAAAAAGAGCTTCTGGCAGTAGTAAATGGTTGTAAAAAGTTCCACTATTACCTATATGGAACAGACTTCACAATAGAGACAGATCACAAACCTCTACTTGGTCTTTTAAACAAACCTATAGCAAGTCTATCACCACGGCTTCAGAGAATGATGATGGAACTGATGAGATACAATTTTAAATTAGTTCACGTACCGGGAAAAAAATAAATTATATTTATTTATTGGTACTGAACACTGGTTTTTAATAGAACTCACCATAAAAACCCAAAACTAACATAAACACAACAAACAATAATAATAATAAATATTACATCATCTGATTTAAGACAGAATAAATGTCACATGTCACATGTCCTTTTTTTTCAATTTCAATCTTTTTTCTTTTCCATTTTAAATTGTCTCAGTTGGCACCGGTTTCTTCTGAAAACTGCTCCGCTGTCCATTTGTACAAAATAGGAATTCGGGCTTTTGTGTTTCTTGACAACTTTTCCTTTTGCCCATTCTCGAGTTCCCTTTTGGACATAAACTTCTTCATGAACATTTAAACACAAGTTATCTGGACAACGGAGCTGAGGTAGTTTACTCCCTGGCAGTTTTTGCTAATGACGATGTAGTAAATAGACATAAATATGCTACAGAAAGGGATGCCGCACTAAAGCAAGTACGTTTTTACATAGAACATGGATGGCCTGAACACAAACAAAATTGTGATGACAAAGCTCACCCTTTTTGGGAAAAAAGGTATCAATTACATTTATACGATGATCTGATATATATGGAAGACCGACTTGTTATTCCGAGTGAGCTGCGACCCGACATGCTGAGGCAACTACACGCTTCACACCAAGGAATTAATTCGTGCCAAAACAGAGCACAGATGGCTTGGTACTGGCCAGGAATGATGAGAGACATAAAAAACACAGTAGACCAATGTACAACATGCCAGGAATACCAAAGATCAAACCCAAAAGAACCTCTTAAACCATATCCAGTGCCAGAAATCCCATGGGAAGAAATTGGAGTTGATTTCTTCAAAATTAACAATACCAATCACATGCTAGTGATTGACTATCATTCCAAATTTGTGGAAGTAAAGAAGATGAGTACAACAACAGCTGATTCAGTAACTGCAGGATTGACACAGATATTTAGATCTCATGGCCTGCCTAAGAAATTACACTCCGATAATGGCCCTCCGTTCGATAGCCACAAGTTTTCCACGTTCACAGAAAGGTATAAAATTGAGCATATAACTTCGTCTCCGTACTACCCAAAATCTAACGGGATGGTGGAGAGGGCTATACAAACTTTAAAGTCAATGCTGTCTAAAACGCTAAAGACCAAGGGAGATCCAAACCTGGCCATAATCGATTACAATAATACTCCTAAAGCTAATCTCAGAGCACCTGCTCAAATGCTAATGGGAAGACTACTAAAGACTGTTCTTCCTGCTACTAAAGATTCCATGAAACCACTCTTCCCTACCAATGAAACAGTTCTAAATTTGAAGCAAGCCCAAGAAAAACAAAAAACATATTATGACAGATCGGCTCATCTACTTCCAGAATTAAAGGAGGACGAAGAAGTTTATGTCCAAAAGGGAACTCGAGAATGGGCAAAAGGAAAAGTTGTCAAGAAACACAAAAGCCCGAATTCCTATTTTGTACAAATGGACAGCGGAGCAGTTTTCAGAAGAAACCGGTGCCAACTGAGACAATTTAAAATGGAAAAGAAAAAAGATTGAAATTGAAAAAAAAGGACATGTGACATGTGACATTTATTCTGTCTTAAATCAGATGATGTAATATTTATTATTATTATTGTTTGTTGTGTTTATGTTAGTTTTGGGTTTTTATGGTGAGTTCTATTAAAAACCAGTGTTCAGTACCAATAAATAAATATAATTTATGAAGCTTTATCATTGTTTTAACGAAATCCTTGATATAACGAATATTCAGTTCGGTCCCTTCAGATTCGTTATGCTCAGGTTGGACTGTAGTTGCACTACGCAACGCAACAAAAGACGCAGTAGTTTTGATATAAACAGTACAAGTCACAATGTGAACTTTTCAAGCGTGAACCTGTGCGCTGATAGCGAGTGGTGTGGAAGGGCAGGGGAGCGGTGCGTTGGTGCGTTCCTACGTAGAGTGGGAGGGGGGGCGGCGGCACGGCAGTGAGGCAGGACGGCATGGCGCCTTGACTAGGATGGCGATCAGCTGAAATTGTAAACAAACTTTGCTGTGCTACTAACTATGCTATTAGGGCTCTCAGTGTATTCTACTCCGTTGCAATTTATATTGATTTCTATTGTAAAATTATTGTTTGTTTATTACGTTATGCAGTTTTGAAATTACTTAATTGACGTTCCTTATGACGTTCGGCTCATTAAAAACTTTTACAAACTGTATTAAACAAATTTTCTGCAACCAGAAATTTGCCGCCCCTCAACCCTGCCGCCCGGGGCAACCGCCCCCTCTGCCCCCCCCTTGTTCCGGCCCTGGTTGTTTATTTATTTTTGAAAGGTAATACCTTAAATCTAAACATCTATCTTAAAATGTCTACCTTCCTCCAAATATGAGAAAATTCAGTTCAACATTAAGTTTGAAACCTCTTATGAGTAATACATCAAATAAATAATAGCTAATACAGACCAACTGCTCCAAATTTGCCGTTTAATAGTGGTAACCACATATTTATTGAGCTAGAACGGTGACATTACAAATTTACTATTTTAATTCTAATCAAGGCTCAAACAAGTGTAAAGAACAAATCAAATCCCTGAATGAAATAGAGTTAAAGTATATTTTTCAATCAATAAAAAGCACTTTGATATAGTTCGGCCGCTTAGAAAACGACCTGCGCGCTAATGCTAAACCAATGTTGGAGGAGGTCGCTTTCTAAGCGGCCGAACTATAGCAAATGTTTTGTGAAAATAACAAAAAGAAACAACAAAAACAAAAGTGTATTGATCCAAGCGCAAGAAGTTTTCATAACTCCTCAATGGCCTCAATGGGTTGTTCTGTGTAGGCTAGCAAGGTGATGATTCCACCAATAGCCAGAAAGCCAGAGCAGAGCCTAGAGTCCAGACTGAAGTCATTAACCAATATGGCCCCAGTGATGCTCTTCATGAAGGGAAACCCAGCAGAGCCCAAGTGTGGCTTCAGTCGTCAGATCATTCAACTGCTCAACGAGCAAAATGTTTCCTTCAAAACATTCGACATTCTGCAAGATAATGAGGTTAGGGAAGGACTCAAGAAATTCTCAGACTGGCCAACTTACCCCCAGGTATCTAATAAACTTTGAATAATAACTCAATGGTTTCAAATACTGAAGATGCTCAATTCATGTAAACCTCTTGAAGGACATCAACACATTTGCGTACATTATTATTACTATTATTATTATTGTTTATTTTTTATTATCTTATACTACACTCCTGCTTTTGTTTTACAAATACTCCTACTGAACGGCTGAAGCGAAAAGCGATACACATGAAATTTAGCACAGTCATAGTAACCTATGGGAAGGTATAAATCTGAAATGGTACAAATCAAATTAAAGGGTTTTCCCTACGTGAATTTAAACTTTTTGAAATTTAACAAGAGCCTTATTAGTTGATTGGTCGTCATGATAGTATTTGCAAATACAGTAGAACCTCACTAATCCATCACCTACGGGACCGGAAGCATGGTCGGAACAGCAAAAATGTCGGATTATCAGAGGATCATGTTTATTGGCACAAGAACATACTAAAACTGTATTTTGAACAGACCACAGATAACTGAAAACCACGTTAATCCAACTTGGCATAAAACAGTCATTTCTAACTCATAAACAACGCCTAATACTAACTGTATAAATGGACTTTATTGTGATAATTTGCATATAACATCATCACAATTAGTAGGCTATTGTGCAATCATGATAATTATGCTAAGTCATTAACCTTGGTTTAGTTATAAAAACTATAACCTTAATATCACAGCTTTCTCATACTTTTGCTCAAACAAACAAATTGCCAAACATTGTATAACAAAATAAACAGAACAAGAGAAAGGCCAAACTGCTGGTCATAGGCCACTGCTACGCTGTTTCATCTAAGACAGAAGAATGTCGTTAAAAAAATTAGATAACGTATAAAAAATATAAAATAATAGTAGCCTGCTTATAGATGATAACAACAGTCATAAAATACACCAATAAAGATAAAAATGACAAATAAATGACATGACATAAAAACATTGTTTATGATTTCTCTTTATTCTTCTATTCTTTCTCGAGTTTCTCTTTATCCACCCATTCAGGGGTGCCCACAGGGGGGTTTGATGTCACAAAATGCGACATCAGAAATTTATTTGGGGGGGATTTTATGATTTTGGGGGGGATTCAAGCCAGTGGTTGGTTAAAAGCACATCAAAGATTAACCAGATAATTTTGACGACCTCCTTAATTTATTACTGGGGTAATTATGCAATCAAAATCCCGTTTGACATTTTATCTTGATTAATAAATCATTTTATAATTGCTATAAAATATATAGATACTTTTATGTGGATTTCCACTTTCTGACACGTATCATGTTTGACATGATGTGAGAACAACTCCATGCCAACTGCTGTCAAAGGATTATGGTTGGCTTATTAAATTGTATCTGCAATTTGAGTTTGATTTTACCTTTAATTATGAACTCATTCTCAAATAGTCTCATTGCCTTGATGACCTATTGATGGTTTTTTAGGTTTGTTTATTATAATATATACTTGATTCATGAAAAAACAGTATTATGATAATGTTAATCATTTTGCTATTTTTACAACATGAACAACAACATGAAAGCTTGTGATAATATTTTGGCTATCCCAAATAATTATGCCTGGGTCATTTATTCATCGGAAGAAATTGACATACAGTACTGTGACAATTTAATTAAGGTTTTTGATAGACTATGTATTTACGTTAACTTCAAGAATTGAAACACATGATTCTGATTTAATTAAATTGTATTTGTTATTGTCTTTTCTTGAATCTAGAAAGAGCTTCAAACAAATTTTACTAGTCTTAGAATAGATATATAATTATTTTTTACGCCACGCTACACTATTTTGACGAAGTTCACATGCGAGGATTTAGTCCAGAAAACAGCTGTTTGTCACCAGCTTAATCAAATGGGGTTTCATACAGTACTACTGTACTGTAATAATTTTGCCGGACACCAATCAGCTGATTATACTGTATTTGGGTGGCAATGAGTGGTTATAACAAAAACATAACCTCTCTTAGAGGTTATGACTAGTGATTTTAGTCCTTCAGTTGGTGGTAATATATAGGGATTTGAACGGATTTAGTAGTATGGCGTAAACTATCGTACGTCACTCGTCCAACATGTGTTGGCCGGACTCGTATAAAAAAACCACTACTCGACTTCGTCTCGCACGGGATTCAGGACTAGTAACGTAATATACTCTTTTACCACACTATGATGTTTTAAACTGTTTTACATATAGGTACATTAATTGGTGGCTGAAAGTTGCGTTTTGCAGGCCATGCCAGCTGTCATCGTTATTCGGGGATCGAGCAGGTTTTTACATCCCTAGGGCCGCAAAATCAGCTGCCCGCTTACTTTCTTAAAACATGAATGCATATTAAATACACAATCAGTATCCATAGCATTGCAATAGAGTTGTTTTATTGTCACCGCTGCCTAGCAACTATTTATTATTATATTTGCTGATTCCTCAAATTATTTATCCCCATGACCTTAAAGTTGTAGTTGTGTTGACTATATCAGTGTGCAGTGCATTATCATTGAGGTGAATTAGTGGTAATAGGGTATAGTGTAGTGAATAATAGCGTTCGTACCACGGACTGAAATGGTTTTGCAGTTCTCGATAGTTTTAAGTCCTCGACTTCGTATCGAACCGTATCGAACTTAAAAAACTATCTTGAACCAGCAAAACCTCATTTTTGGCCCTAGGCACGAAATATACTATTAAGTTTAGGCCTAGTAATATTTTTAAGACTGAAAATTTTACACTTATTTAAAAAGGACCAAACTCAGAAGTGGATTAAAGGACAATTTAGAAAATATCCCAAACTTTTTGACGTAACTTTAAGTACTTTCTCCCTACAATTTAATATGGTAAAATAACTGTTTATGTAAAAACCCTGATCCCAAAAAAGTGGTTTTAGAAGTGATGTGTTTGTCTGTCTGTGTGTGTGTATGTGTGTATGTATGGTACAGAGCTACAGACCACGCCTGTGGTCCGAGTCCGATTTTGATGAAATTTGGTATTTTAGGTACCAATCCATGGTCTCTCCAGATGTTTGTTTTTTTCATTTTGGATTTTTAATAGTGATATTCCATAAAACCCTATAAAATAATGGATGAATAAAATTTTCTCAGAATTGGCCCGAACGATTTTGATTAAAAATTAACATGTTATACTCTTTGACAATGACAAAAAATGTATAAACCCTCTATGCCGTAAAAATTATGGTTCAAAAGTATTGCATCTTTTGTGATTTTCCCTTTTAAAACCTATTAATTCATGGAAAATCGGATAAAAAAAAACTACATGGCCAATTTTGATTCAAATTGTGTGCATGTTAAAAATCCAACTCATTTAAATTAAAACTAAACTAATAAATAGTTTGCTACTAGAGTTTTAAAGCAAAATTGTCCATTTAAATTGGGTTAAAAGTTTGATTCAAACGCTTAAATTCCCATAAATTTAAAGAAGTGTCGAGGGCACCCCTTCCCTCCCCGCATTATAAACATAACTATGGGTTAGCCCCCAGACCTTCCAATATGGGTTAAACAACGAATTTGGGGGGGATTCTGCGACGTGAGCTTTGGGGGGGATGGGCACCCCTGCACCCATTCAACAAGTTGCCTTGGTTACTAATACTAATTACCCAACCACAGGCTACTAAAGCTGTCATGGTTACCAAATGCCCAATCAAAAAATGTTGTGACAGCAAGCGCAGAGCAGAGGGATGCGTCATGTGTAGGCCTAAGGAGCAGAAAATTGTCAGTGCAAATGGATAGCTTGACCTTGAAGCTTTGTTCGACATTTCTTTGTTTTCCTTCCATTTTATTTTTGTCAAATGAACTGTGATTTTTCAAAAACAATAATGTGGGAGCCTACTGCATATAAATAATGGGCAGAAATAGTTAAATAGGTATACAACGAATTTCAACACATTAGACTAAAAAACACAATTTAAAAAATGTTCTAGATAGTTTTCTTGGACAATGAGGTTATATTAGCAGAAGCCCATTTGTCGACACGGTCGGACCAAGCGAGTAGTCGGACCATCGGAGGTCGGATTAGCGAGGTTCTACTGTAACAATTAAAAGGTAAACAGAGGAGTCATAAGATATGTTAGTCAACGAATCATCTAAACTAGCCCATTAAAAATACAGAACAAAAGGAAAGCCAATCTGATTTATACCGTATTTAAAAATGAATAGGCTTAGCAAAATTGATTTTAAATAATGCAAATATGCATTTCATTTACTTGAACCGGACCTACCATTAATTTTGGATACTGCAAATAAGCATTCCGTTTATGTGAACTAAATATACCATTGACTTTGGATACTGTAAGTAGACATTCCATTAACTTGAACCAGACGTACCATTGACTTTGGTTATTGCAAATTATGTGTGAACTAAAAAAAAAAAATTATATTAAATTCCCAAAATAAAATAAAAAATATTTAGTATGATATTTAAATAAATTCAATGACACGAGCATAAAAGTTTTATTAAGCTTTAATAGCTTGCTTGTTTTATCATCTGCATTACTTTTATGGTCATTAAAGTCCACAAATATGTTTGTTGGCCGTTATGGGTTCTATAAATCTACTGCATTTTACATGCTACTAATGAGTTATTTACACATTTGTGGACATAAAGTTTTTATAAAAAAAAAATAATTACGGCAAAACAATTTTGTAAAGCATTATTATAACCCCACAGAATTAAAAAAATATCACAGAATTTTGACAAAATAAAAAAAAAAACTTGTCCTTGAAGAGGATTTAAAAAAGTTAACAAAGAAGTAGTGATCAAACGACAAGACATACACTGATTCTACTTGGTTAGCAAAACTTGCAACTAAAACAACACATTTTTAAATACCGTTTTGAAATTAAATTATTAAGTCCTTCTTTAAGTTCTTAAGTTCTTCTTCAAAAAACTATTGTAGTAATTTAAACGGTTCACTTTTCTTGGATCCTATGATGCCAAATGAGATTTTATCCGCTATAAGAAAACTGA